TCAGTATATTTCTTACCTATATAATACATTTGGTAAAATTCATTTATATACATGTAATGCTAACAGGAAGCTCCAGTGGTGCAATCCCTCCCAAGCTGTCAACCTAAAGACTGTGAGTCTTAGGTAGTTTGAAACCACCAGCGGCTCCAAAGGAGAAAAATGGTAGTTTCTTCTCCTTGCAATTTATAACCGTGGAGACCTAGTGGCGGGTTGCTGTAAGTCAGAACCAGCTTGAAAGCAGTGAGTTTATGCAGTAAGAGGCCAGGCATCTGCCATTCCCAGCACTCTCAGAAAGGTCAGAGATTTGGCACAAGGTTTTCTGGTGGGCATCCCTTCCCTGAGCGTGTCAGTGGGGACTAATCACGTCTCCCTGGACTCACAAGTACGCATGAGCACCTAAGCATGCATCTCAACGAAGTACTCTAAAAAGTTCTTCCTTCCACACTCACTTTTTGAGAGAGAACTTCTACAGGTTCTCTACGTGCTCAAAATGAGTCTCATAAAAACCCAAAAATACAAAACAAAAAATTAGACTCATGAAGGGCCTTATAATATAGTAAATAGGATCCTGACTGAGACAGGAGACTTGGGATCAAACCCCACCAAAAGGGGTTAACAACAATTTGGCTTCCCTTTTCTACAAGGTTATTGTGAGAAACAGACAATCTTACAGATGTAAAATTACTTTCCAAACTAAAGGAAATTTTTCAAAACCTGCTCTTGCTATCCTATAATCTAAATACTGCAGAGCGTTATCTGGGAAAACGGTGCAAGCACTGAGCCTCTGTGGTAGAACAGAGCTGTTGCATCAGTATAGAGACCTATGGGGAGGGACAATAGGTGATGAGCCCTTAGATGGTAAGCTGGTGAAGCCCCTTGCAGGACTGCTGTGGAAAGTGGCTGCATTCACTCTGCATTTGTCAGGATGCTTAGTGTGTGGCGAGCACAGCCCTGCCCTACCAGCAGGGAAGAGTGCAGCATTGAAGACTGCGAGAAGCAAGACAAATTCCCAACCCCCAAGCATTGATTCTGTTCCAAGCAGAGTGGTGCACGGAGTTGGAGGTGATGCGCACTGCAGGAGGCTGCTGCATGTGACTGCAGAGTGTGGCTGCAGAACTTGCTAGAGGACAAAGCCATGCTCACAGAGGTCATGACTGCTGCTGCCCAGGGGGCAGGTCAAGAAGCTGCCTGCGTGTCCACAGCGAGGGAGTAGTGGCTAGCTCTCAAAGCCCACCCTCCTGAGCAGCTATGATAGTAGTCAGCTCCTGTTTCTCTCACTGGCTACTGAAATTCCAGTGGAGATATTTTCTGCGCAGAAAGATTGCAAAAGCCAATCTGGCTTTGCACAGGTACTATCACTTGATCAATGTTCAGCTGTTTCAGCCATCCCTCCAATGTAGCAACTGCTGGCAAGTGTTACAGGCAGGTGGTAGGTAGTCCTCTATCCACTCCACCCTCTCACAGACAAAGGGAGGGAGAAGGCGAGAGGATGGAGGGCAAAGCAACTCCGCGCTTTCCTTTCTTCTTGGGAAGATGAGGAGAAACTGCTGCTGTCAGAGAGAAGAGGAGCTGGAATACCACACAGCAAGTGATACGTAGTTGATGGCAGGGTGCAATGAAAAGGGATGGGGCTCACCGGGTCATCTCGATTGGGGAAAAATATGTGTGGCTGAGTATGAAACTCTTTTTGGTTATACATATTTTTCATTTCACAGCATTCTACCCACAATGGCCACTCTTTGCTTCTGCAAAACTCCAAGACCAAAAGTCTCACTCAGATCACTCGGAATTGCCATTCCCTCTCCTAGAGCTCACATTCGCCCAAATATCTCCAAGGCCACTCCTTCATCTCCTAATGCTTACTCGAAATACTGATTTCTCAGCAAGGTCTTCTCAGGCAGCTTAACTAAACTTATAGTTTCCACTCTCAATTCATCTCACTTCCCTTCCCACTTGATTTTCTCCCACAGCATTTACCACTAGTTGATGTTCTGTTCTAGTCTATTTCTGTATCACATTTGTTGTCTGGCTCCCTGAGAGGAAGACTTTCATCTGTTTTTTTCACGGCTATGTCCCATGGCTCAGTACAGCCTCTGGTACTGAGTAGACTGCTTAGCAAGTTGTTGGCACTCTGTGATTTGCTTTCCTACCGGGGGCCCTTCTGTGCCTAGATGGGCAGAGATGCAGAAAAGTATGGAGAAGAGGTCAATAAACAAAGGAAAAGATAAGCAGGAGGATGCAAAAAAGTATGGAAAATTGCATGTGCAGAGAAGTGATAAGGAGCAAAGTGAAAGTTAGTAAGATTTCTGATTAAATAACGGAGGGCTTGTAGAAGGGAAAGCCAGTGCCAAGAAGGAAGAAAAATAAAGCAAAAGGGAAATTCTCTAGAATGTTCAGGAAATCTAACCTGAACAAGCAATTGCTGTTTGGCAGAATGCTGGAGTTCGGCTAAAACCACTGTTTTGGGGCTTTTTCCATGCCTCTGTTAATGTACTTGATCACTAATGAAAAAGCTGGATGTTCAAGTCTCCCCAGAGGCACCTCAGAAGAAAAGCCCGGTGATCTACTCCCCAAGAAGCAGAGCCTGGTTTTGTGCCCCGTGGAGCACAGTTTTTGTCTGGCACACGTGAGGTTGCCAGCAGTCAGAACTGACTTGACAGCTAGTGTTTTCTTTCTTCCCTTGCCACCTGCCTCAAAGTAACTTTCCCTAAGCAAGGGAGCTATGGACAGTGGGCTTGGAAAGAGAAGAAAAAAGACCAGGAAGGGGAAAGAACTGGAGTAGGAAGATGGGAGACAAGCAAAAGATGGAGTGGGTGATACAGGGGAGTCTAGTTTGTGAACCTCTGTGCATCAAACGGGGTTCAGGTCAAGCAATTTTCCTTTAAAGCAAGAAGCCCAGGAAAATTTCAGTTGGGCAGATGGAGGGAGAGACTGGAATGGACAGCAGGAAGAAGGCGTCCTCTGAAGGGGAAGAGATGGGCAGAGGTGGGAGGCAAGCCTGGGTCTGTTGCTGTTACAAAGAACAGGGCACCCCTTAGAGGCCCTGAGCAGGGGAGTGCCACTGCCGCTTCAGCCATCTGTCTTGAGCTGCTGAGATTCGTTTCTTTTCTTTTTTTCCTTTTGTTATCTTAAAGTTCTCATGCTCTTACCCAATTATTTTTCATATGTATGAATAATTTGGAAAAGTTGAATCATTTTCTCAGGTTCATGAATCGTAACTTCCTCTTAATTTTGCAACACTATCAGAAAAAAATACACTAAAACAGAATCCCTCAAAACAAAAAACCAAAATAGGAGCTTTAAGTCCTTCCCAAAGAAATAAGAGGTGATTTATAAATGGAAAGAAAAGGACCAGGTTGCTTTGAGAGGCTCTCCCTAGGAAACCAGGTTTTTATACTAGAGTGTTTAATCAGGGTGATCAATCAAGATATGTCCTTAAGACTACACTTCATAGAAACAAAACTACAGCTTGAATTAACCATAATGTCTAACTTATTCAATCTCACTATCTGAAGTGGGCTAGATGAAGTCTGAGTAAAGGAAGGCAAGGAATAAGAATTTTTAGTGCATCTGGTCCAAATGAGATTGTTTCTGATTAGAAAGCCCTAGTCTCAATTTTCTACATATCCTTGATTCAGAGACTAGAAAGGAAGACAAGCCACCCTGGCCATGTGGAAAATATTCCTTAAAAATGTCCAACAGCCTTTGTCCTAATTCTCTGCTCACTAAGTTAATGTGTTCTGTTAATTGGGTGCTATTTGGCCTTGTTGAAGATATGCTCACCACAAAAGTTCAGCGTAAAGAACGTGCCTGGAAATCAGGCTAAAGAGAAATACCCGGTGAGCTGGAAATGGACATGTCTTTATATCAATTGAGGTTTTGGAAATTTTGTTTTGGTTCTCCCGGTGTGATTACCCTGTGACAGAATCCTGTACCATGTAAAGCCTATGACTGATCATGGGGCTATGGGTTAGCCTTGTCAAGGTGTTGCCTGTTTGGGGCGGGGGGCAGGGTGGCAGTGGAGGGGAGCTGTGTGAAGCAGCCAGCCAGTTTTCCCCTTTTGTCATCTGTAAGCTGCAGTCACAGTGCAGCAGCAACATAAGCAGTATAGAAGTAAAGAGAGCCCACAACATATGCTCCCTCTGAAATTATTTCAGTAAGCCTTGTATCAGGCTCTGATATGCATTCTAGTTCTAAGCATGTATTTCTGTACTAACCCATTAGCTAGAGATTCATCTTTCTAAAGAAGCAAAGCAGTATATAGAAGTGGAGACACTTGACTCTCTTCTCCTGATAATCAGGCAACTCTATACAGACATAGGCAGAGGGAGGGCAAGACAATGAACAGGAAGAACAGACACAGGGCTTACCCTTCTCAGAAGATACAACCAGCTGGATTCTTTTTTTCTGGGGATGAAAGCCTTCTCAATTCCATAGCTTTCCATCCAACAGTAGAAGACCTGATTCAGACCTGATATTCTTCACAGGCAAGATAATTTTATTCCGTGTCTCATGCTCTGATAATAATTTCATTCCCTTCCCCTCCTCCAGCTGCGTCTAGAAATCTGAGATTCCTCTAAGCAGCCATGGATGACTAGCACTGCCTACTAATCGTTACCACCAGTATAATTTCACCAAAGAAGAAGATCAAGACGTCTGACACATGGGTGGTAACCAACAACCTCTTCTATTCAAGTCACAAAAGAATGGTCACTTAATCAAATTCTATCAGTTTTGTTAAAAACAAGCATCCATCAGGCAAGTATCTCTCGCTACTAAATGCTACAGGACAGTGAGAATATGCAGATTAATGAGATATGTAATCTTTTTTCTTTCAGCACTTCAGGCTGGATGCTGGGTGGTGGCCAAATGTTTTCCGAAGGTCAGCCTGTAGATAGTAATATCGTCAGCTCCAAAGAGGCAGTGGGGCCACCTGCTGGAAGGCTTGGGCACTGCTCCCTCTTCCCCTCCCTCCTGCACATCTTCAGGGCGTGGTCTAATCATGGCAGGACCACAATCTTTTTCTCAAGCTTTTGTGGTGGGAACAGGAAATTTCTCATTATTTCATCCAACTCTTCCAAGGCCAGCTGGGCATGGAGTTTGGTCACGTCATCAGGCTCCAAATGCACCACGTGCTTCAGCAAGTGGTAGAGATCCTTGAGGACATCTCTAAGCACCTGTAGGAGAAAGACAGAGTCATGACCATCAGTCTGTTGTGCCAACATTTCTCAGTTTACCCTGTCTTCTTCTGTTAAAAGAGTTCTGTGAGGAAACCTATAGACTTCCTTAAAAAATAATGTCTAATCCTCTAAAGGAAGGAGGGAGAGATGAGGGCTCTACCTCACAGCCCTAACATTTGTACAAGCACGTCTCCCTTTGGGTTTCTCATTCACTCCTGTAACGTCACTACACTGGCCTTTACTCTCAGCCTCAAGTATAGATTCCACTTTCCTTCCAATAGTCTCTAAGCAGGCAGAGCCCTCAGGACCACGCTGCCTAGAGACGATCAGGCTTACAGCCCAGTTACCAGCATTTATCTAGCTAGCTCCCCACAAAACTCTACCAACACGCACAGAATAGGCAACTATCTTCTGCCATTTCTTCCAGCAATTACATTTTCCTTGCTACTGTTTTAAACGTTTTCTACTATAATTTATCTCCACAGTTGTGAACTTGTATTTTGTAAGTGACATCCAAAGGGACAACAGAATTAGAACTGGTGTGAGCAGAGGAAACACATGCACTAGATGTGTGCACCATTCTTTGGCAGTGCATGCACAGTGCATTGACCATTCGAAGCTCACGGGCCCAGAACTCTGCAAGACCCATGATGTGTGGGAGTTTAGCAAGACTCAGTGGAAATCCAAAGTAAATATGTTACATTTATGACTAATGAAGTGAGGAGCTGCCAGCTAGAGAGGCCCCACTTTCCATTAGAACCAAGACTTGCCTCGGGCAAAGAGAAGGCAGTAGAATTCTCAGAAACACAGGAAATCAAGGAACCTAATCATATTCTTTCTTACTCATGTCCCTTCCAGTATTAGCCAGACATTTGCATTGAAACTGAAGAGAAGGAAAAGAATAAGACATGTCCTTGTCATTTCTAGTCCCTTCTTACTCATCAGTAAGCCAAAAGGTGAAGACTGTGGGTACAATGGGCACAAAGCAAAAGTGAAAGAAAAATAGCTGAGTCACTTTTGTGCAGGTTTCCACTGTTTTAAGAACGAAATACATATATTGGTATAAACTAACCCTCCCTCCCTTAAAAAACCTCCTCCAATGCCATCATGTCAATTCTGACTTAGATCAAATTTGAGAGTGGAGCAGAACTGCCCCACAGAGTTTCCAAAGCTGTAATTTTTACAGATGTTAGACAATATCCTCTCTGTCTCATACTGTATAAACTAGAGAGAAGAAAAACCGTCTCATTTTAGTGATCCCATGTATGAATTAAGTGCTCTTATATTTTGCATTTAAAATTGGCACTGTACAATGTGAAAAGGAACAGTACAATTCATGCTGATAATGACATTTCCATTTTTCTGCCCGTAACAAACTCTGGTGATGTGGTCTCTGGAAAGCTGTGCTGCTAACCCTGGAGCAGCACTTCTTTATTGATTCAAATCCATCAACTTTTGAAATTCTGCTGGAGGGTCAGGTCAGTTATGTGTCAGTTTCAACTTGACAGCAGTGAGTTTGTATCTTTTTGCTTCTGAGAACAATGTTAAAGAGCAAATCATTAACACCATTACAAGTTTAAGAGAGAGACAATGAAAAAAGGTTGATATTTTAGTACCTTTCATGGCACTTTTTCTTTGCTTTTGAAAAATGGACCTCTTTAATTTTGCACTTGGCCCCACAAATTATGTAGCTAGCCTGCAAACAATTTTCAGTGTGCCGTACTTAGGATCAGTCTGGTAAGCAGCTCAATCCTGTGACCAATCTTTATGAAGATGCTGCCCAATCTCTGGTGTGGAATTATCTCCTGGGCAGCAGCTGAGACCTGACTTGGGTGTCAAGTCCTACCTGTGGCGCCATTGTTACTGCTCTTTCATCATCTATCTTCAGGTGAGGGTCCTAGCTTTCCTCAAGGTGGTGGTGGTGGTTCTTAGGTGCCATGGGATCGAGTATAATTCATAGCGCCCCTATGAGCAACAGATCTGAACCTTGTCCTGTCCTGTGCCGTCTTCACATCTGACACATCTGAGCCCACTGCTGCAGTCACTGTGTCAATCCACCTAGTTGAGGGTCTTCCTGTCCTTCACAGTCTATCTTTCCAAGCATTATGTCCCTTTCCAGCAACATGCCTAAAGTATGTTTATCATTTTGTCTTCAAGGAACACTTTGGCTACACTGTCTCCAAGACCTAGCTGCTTGATCTTCTAGCAGTCCACAGGATATTCAGTCCTCCCCTACAACACCACACTTCAACTTCCTCAAGGTTAGAAGCATGAAAACTAGAGACAATTTCTGGAAGCCTGGGACTCTCCACAGCACCTGCCTCCTGATTACTCACTCCTGCAATCATTAAGTGCCCAGGCACTGGGCTGGTAAGAAAAAGATGAATAATGCACAGTCCCTATTCTCTGGTTGCCATAGCCTAGTCTGGAGGTTGACACACACCATATAGGGTGATCTGTACTCTTAAGAGGTAAATGACCATAGCGCCCATGGAACAGAGAGAAGGAAGTGATTCTGCCTGTTGTAGTGGGTGAAGGGAAGAAAAGCATCTCCTCAACATGTGAATCTGACAATTATTTGCAACCAATGAGCAGCACCAAGTAATGGCTAGAAGAAATCTTAGCCAAGTCCCTTCAACCCCAAGCCACTTTGAATAACTGCAGGTTCTAAGGGAAACCAAAAAAGTGTCCTGGTAGCACAGTGGTTAAGCACTTTGCTGTTAACAGAAAGAAAGGTCAGTGGTTTATATCCACTGTATGTTCTGGAGGAGAGAGATCTGTAAGGCAGTTAGGTACCTATGGGGCAGAGCTACTCTATCCTATAGCAGCTGTGTGCTGTTGAGCTGGCACACTTTTATACACAAGTCACTTGGTTTAAAGAGACTTGTATATAAAATCCAAAAATTTCTTATCTTCATTACCATGTTTTCTTTCTCTCGCCTCCTCCCTGAGTCCCCTTTCCCACGCACCCCTTAAAGGAATCTTTCATATTGTCAGAAATATCTCAGGTATTTTTTCTAGGTCCTCCTAATATCCCAAGTAATGTTAACTTCTACTTATTAAAAGCTAAGTTCTGAGGCATTTTGGTCCTAGGTTCTTTTCCTTTCTGGTGTGGGTAACAATTTTCCCTTTGGCATCGCTGTGTCCTTAAAATAATAATACTTGTGCAAACACCATTTCATACTTGAGGGGTGCTGAGTTCCTTGTTATCAGTTACCGGATCTCCGTTTTTTAAGTAAGTGAGTGTTAAGCAAAGGCTCCTTCTTAATTAATGGGTCTACTTAGCAACCCACCCTGGTACCACTTCTCCTCAATCTCTGTAACTCTGGGGATCCCACACATCACACACTTCCTCTGGACTCCCCAAGGATCAAAGCTTCCTGCCAGCCAGGGATTGTCACTAAATCCCATGGATCAGGGGCTGAATAAAAGGAGAGTTCAAAGGTAAAGTTACTCACAGAAGCCTCTGTGGTGGGCAGGATATAGGCAATCCCACAGAGGAAACCACTCATTAAGAGTTCAACACACCTGCTATTCTGCCCCCTCTGCATTAAGGCTCCAAATCTCTAGGGCAGGGCCCCTGCTGAGCATCTGCCTTTTTTACCCCAGATAGGCTGAATCAGAATCTACATTTTAACAAGCTCGGTTCTGGTTCAGAATACCTGGGTGAAAGCAGATTACTGGCAGGGTGGGGGTTGAGGGTGGTGTCAATCCAGAATGAACTGATTCAAAGCTCCAGGAAACAACTGCTGTGGGGTGGGTACATCTCATCCTGACTCAATCCTTCTTAATATACAGCAAAATTGGTTGAAATAAACATCTTCACCACCTGAGAAGCTCTTAGAGGGACATTTTAAGGAAGTATTCAGTATGGATTGAGGCTCAATGTCAAGAAGACAAAGATTCTCACCACTGGACCAATTGGCAGCATTAGGATGGATGGTGAAGAGATTGAGATTGTTAACAACTTTAGTCTGCTTGGCTCCACGGTCAACACTCTTGGCACCAGCAGCCAGGAAATCAAACATATTGCGATGGGAAAGTCTGCTGTTAGGGACCTCTCCAGGGTACTGAAGAGCAATGGTATCACTCTGGAGACTAAGGTTCATCTGATACAGGCTATGGTCTTTGCAATCACTTGTTATACATTAGAGAGATGGACAATGACTAGTGAGGATAGAAGGAGAATTGATGCCTTTGAGCTGTGATGGTGCTAGAGAAGAGGATTGAATGTACCATGGACTGCCAAGAAAACAAAGAGATTCATCCTGGAGAGGGTTAAACCAGGCTGCTCCTTGTAGGCAAGATTCTGGGGCTTCGTCTGACATACTTTGGACATGTTGTAAGGAGGGACAGGTCCTTGGAGAAGGACATCACGCTTGGGAGGGACGGCACAAGAGGGTAAGACCCTCTATGAGGTGGATTGATTCAGTGACTGGGGTAATCGGGATGGGTGTGTCAGAGGCAGTGCGACTGGCACAGGGTTTAGGGCTGTTGTACATAGGGTCACTATGTAGTGGCAAGATGCTGCACTGCAATCCCAGAGGTATGCAGTTCAAATCCACCAGATGCTCTGCTGGAGAAGGAGGGGGCAATCTCCTCCTGTACCAGTCAGATCTGATTTGACGGTACACGTAAAAATAATACAATAAAAAGTAAAAAAAAAAGGAAAAAAATAGGGTCACTATGAGTCGCAAGCAACTCGACGGCACATAACAACAACAACTCAAGGAGTGGCATCCACTTCCAAAATAGCTTGCCTCCAGAAACTCTATAAACTTAGAAAAACAATAAGAGTTATACAAGTGGTTAAGTCTTTCATTCACTGCCAATACAAAAGCATGAGGTTCAAATCCACCAGCTGCTCCATAGGAGAAAGATGGACAATCAACTCCTGTGTGATTTATTGACACTGAAAACCTGTCAATTCTTACTCTACACAACCAAAACCCAAATTTCTAGCCTGAAAACTCTTCGGAAGGGGAGTAGCTTCAGGT